TGCCTCAGATCATCAGGCACTGGATTCTCATGGGAGTGCATAGCCTAGATCCCTCACATGAACAAGATGAGACTGTTCTACCTCAGATCATCAGGCACTGGATTCTCATAGGAGTGCGCAGCCTAGATCCCTCACGTGAACAAGATGAGACTGTTCTACCTCAGATCATCAGGCACTGGATTCTCATAGGACTGCACCACCTAGATCCCTCACGTGAACAGTTCACAACAGGGTTTGCCCTCCTGTGAGACTGTAATGCAGAGCTCAGGTAGTCAGGCTCGCTCACCTGCTGCTGACCTCATGCTGTGCAGCCTGGTTGCTAACAGGCCATGGACTTGTGGCCTAGGGGTGGGGGACTCCGGCCTGCTCCATGGCCCCAGTATAATCTAGTGGAATCGCCGTCGTACATGTGGCCTATCATGGTTGGAAACATGATGTGGCACATGACTGCGTGCCTCACGCCTGACGTACATGCCATCATCTCATCCTCACGCCAGCCAGACCAGGAGGGCATTCCTGTCCCTTCACATTGTAGACAGGAGAACTGAGGCACCCCTGTGGTAGAACCTGGACCCAGATCTGCCAGATTCGGAGACTGTGCCACTCCACGAGGGTGCCTCATCTCAGTTCAGGGTGGACTCGAACCAAGGTCTGTCGCGTCCGGAGCCTGTGCCCTTGCCACTCCATGAGGGTGCTCCATCTCAGTTCGGGGCAACTTCAGCCACGCAATTGCTTGGGCCATAGAGTGAGTGTTCCTTTACTCCTTTCATTTCTTTGCCCTCGTTCTCACTCTCTCATCAAACACTCTTGTTGGCTCTGCCTCCTAACTATGCCCCAAATCAGATAGACACTTTTTTCTATCCTACACCACCAGCTTAGTCTGGATCCCCATCAGCCCTTTCCTGGAACACTGTAGCAGCCTCTTAAATTGGTTGTCTTCTGTCATTGTAATCCATTCTCCCACAGCAGTGGAATATTCTTAAAATCCGAATTAGATCACATCACTTCCCTGTTTACAACCACCAATGACTATCGAGTTGGAATGAGAAGAAAATGGACCCTTACCATGGCCCACAAAAGGTGATGTGGTTGGGCTTCTGCCACCCCATTACCTTATGCCCCCACCTTCCCTTCTGTCCCTCAGACTCACCACGATCTTTCCAGTGTCCCGCCGGGTCCTCCCATTGAGAACACTGTTCCTTGGGTTTTGCCTGAGCAGCTCCTTCTTCAGCTCAGCCATCACCTCCTCAGAGGCCTTTGCTGACTACCCCATAAGTAGAAGCACTTTCCCACCCTCATCACCAGCTCATCCTACTCCCTGAGTTTTCCTGTCACCACTGCAGTGCCTCCTCTCTAATCTGCCTTACTCACCTGCGTCCCTGGTGTACCCGAGGGTGCCTGGAACAGAGTAGATGCTCAGAACATCATCACTGAGTGAGCACAGACACGTGCTGTTCCCTGCACCTAGAGAGATCTGTCCACCCTCCACCCTCCTCCTCCCTCCCTCAGATGTTTCAGAGTAGATGCTCAGAACATCATTGCTCAGTGAGCACAAACACGTGCTGTTCCCTGCACCTAGGGAGATCTGTCCACCCTCCACCCTCCTCCTCCCTCCCTCAGATGTTACAGAGTAAATGCTCAGAACATCATTGTTCAGTGAGCACAGACACATGCTATTCCCTGCACCTGGAGAGATCTGTCTACCTCACTCTCCGCCTCCCCTCACATGTTGAACTCAGAGGCATCCTTCAGCTCTTGCTCATGTTCTTTCTTTAGGGAAGTCTTCATGGCCCTCTTTTGCGTGCTTCTTTAACAACTACTTTTCCTCCCTGGCTCGGCTCACCTGTTTGTGTGACTTGGATTGAAGTCTGTCTCCCCAGCAGACTCTGATCTCCATGAGGCTGAGGCTGCCTGTCTTGCTTACTGCTCTGCTCCTAGGGCCCAGCACAGCTGTTTGTTGAATCGATGAGTGGAGGAATCAGTCACTTTTCCTGTACTAACTTGGTCCACACGTGGAATGTGTGTGCCATAAATGAGTGAACCAGGAGCTCCTTGGGGGTCCACGACTCCCCTCATTTCGTCAGAATGTTAATAGAGGTTGGCCTGATGGCTCTTGCCTGTAATCCCAGTGTTTTGAGAGGCTGAGACAGATGGATTGCGTCAGGTCAGGAGTTTGAGACCAATCCCGGCAACATGGCAAAACCCATTTCTACAAAAAATACAAAAATTAGTTGGGTGTGGTGATGAGCCTGTAGTGCCAGCTACTTGGGGAGGCTGAGGTTGGCAGGATCCCTTGAGCCTGTGAGGTCAAAGCTGCAGTGAGCTGTGCTCACACTGCTGCAGTTCAGGTTGGGTGACAGAGTGGGACTCTGTCTAAAAAACGAAACAAACAAACAAAAAAATGCCAATAGAGACAGACTGTTGAAATAGGGAGGAGAGCTTGGGAGGCTGCTGGCCCCGTGACGCTGAGCGAGCCCCGCACTCACACAACCTCCAATGGTGCCCAGTATGCTCCACTTCTTCCTCTTGGTCCGTTTTCTTGATGCCTTGCACCAGAGGGAGTAGAGCCCAGGAACATCCTCAGCCCGCTTCACTGACATCTGCTTTCTGCCATGATTTCCAGTAACACGTTATGTTTTAAAATGAGGCCCACCTTATGTAATTGTGAGGTGCTGTTATCAACCCAGTAGACTCAGCAATAGATGAGGAACATTTAGCTCAAAAATCCAAATTCTTTGTCTGCCACTGAATGATTTTGAACAAAGCTTTTAACTTTGGTTAGCTGACTTGCTTTTCACATCTACCAAGGACCAGAAGACAGAGTCATAGTGACTCAGCTCAACAGCATAACCCCAGAGCCCACTGTTAAGCCAGTGGAGTCAGGAATCTAATGCTGTTAATTAATTTATTTTTTTTATGGTTGTTGAAGATTGAGCTTGGTAGATTCCTTTTCTTACTGTTCTTCTCTCTAAAATAGCAGCCCTTAGGAAGACAACTCAAGCTTAGAAATACTGCTTTCTGAAAAAAGCTGTAAGTTTATAAGGGTGTTTTTTCTGTCATATCAGGTAAAGAAGCCAGAGTTTGGAACGTGCAAATTTGAAATACTTGCTTGGGTGTTAGACCATATTGTTTCTCACCAGGATACCACAGCAGTCATCGTCTTACTAATGATTGCCTCGAGCTAATGCAGTCATCACGCGGCTCCGTCATGCTGTGAGGCTGTGTCCATCCACATAAATTGCATCCAGGTGTTTTGGCCCACAAACAAGTAGTTTAAATGACTATAAGCGGAATTGTCTTAAAACAAAAACCAGATGCAGGTGTAGTGTTTTTGTCTAAGGTTTTTTTGTTTATTTGCTTAATTTTTAAATTTATTTTTTGAGATGGAGTCTCGCTCTGTCACCCAGGCTGGAGTGCAGTGGTACTATCTCCACTCACTGCAGCCTCCACCTCCCAGGTTCAAGTGATTCTCCTGTCTCAGCCTCCTGAGTAGCAAGGATTGCAGGCACCCACCACCATGCTGCTGGTTTGGGTATTTTTAATAAAGATGTGGTTTCACCATATTGGCCAGGCTAGTCTCAAACTCCTGACCTCAAGTGACCTGCCTGCCTTGGCCTCCCAAAGTGCTGGGATTACAGGCATGAGCCACCATACCCGGCCTTTGTGTAAGTTTTGTTTTTGTTTTTTTGTTTGTAATATCTTTAGGTGATGTCCTGGCACTTGGCAAAGTCATTCACACTATAGTTCATCTGCTGTCCCTTTTGGCTTAGAGATTAATTCAGGTTGACCCACCGGTATTGGCTAAAATATCAAGCACATTTCGAAACTCCCTCTCCACCTAACTTCTTGTCTCTGGAGAGCCATGCCTTACCCCATTCCTTCATCCTCAGCACCAAGAATTCCTCTTTTCTGTTTGTGCAGTTGGCCTCTTTTCTACCAAAGCCTTCAGCTCCCAGGCATAAACAATATCCCTAGGTGAAAATGGTAAAGAAATTCCAGAGAGCTGCCTTGATTCTGTAGATGTACTAAAGTTAGCATCATCAGTGACCCTTATGTATATCATGTACTGCTTCTTGGGTTTCACATTTGAGCCTTCAGATAGTCCTGTGACTACACCCTCATTCGGCAGATGCAGTCACTGTGGCTCAGAGAAGCTGGTGATATGGCCAGTGCAGCACAGTCGGAGCTACACCAAGGTCACGGCACGTCTCCTCCAGCTGTCCCGTGAGCCCTGGTTCCTCTCAGGGCCATGTTTTCAAATAGCTATGATACGGCCAGTGCAGCACAGTCAGAGCTACACCAAGGCCACTGCCATGGCCACGTCTCCTCCTCCAGCTGTCCCATGAGCCCTGGTTCCACTCAGGGCCATGTTTTCAAATAGTCATATTTGGAAGCTGAAAAGTAGATTTTCTCAAGGAGTTGTGGTTGTTGTAATGGAGCTTTCTTGGGAAGAGTCGTCTGTTAATCTAGAACGCATGAGATTAGCTTTGTGGTTTGTTCTTGCATTCGCATCCATCTGGCACTTTGATTCATTTCTGTTTATTGAGGACCTGCTACATGCTAGGCACCAGGATAGGATGGGGAACAAGAAAGACATAATCTCTGCCATCATGGAGGCAGAAAAAAAAAAGACAAATGGGTAATTGCAGTATTTTAATAAATGTCTGGGCAGGGGACATGTAGCACGGTTTGGGAACACGTCAGGGACATCTAACCCAAATGTGACAGATGGGAAAGGCTCCCCAGCAGAAGGGGCTTCTAATTTGAAGACTGAAGGATGCGGAAGATTAGAGTTGGGGCAGGGTGGTGAGGGAGGTTTCAGGAAGACGGAAGGGCAGTGTGAAGGCCTGGGGGTAAGCATGTGGTCGGTGTTGCCTCAGTTCTTTACTGGATCAGAGTTCATGACTTCGCTCTTGGAGACACCTGGAAAAAGTGGATCAATGGCGAAGGCTGTTGAATATGCTCAGAAAATACTTCTCTTTCTTATATCTACCTAACAGAAAAAGCTTGAGTCTCCACCCACTTCTACCAATCCCTTCCTGGAAGATGAGCCAACACCAGAGATGGAGGAACTGGCAACGGAGAAAGGAGATTTAGATCAAGTAAGTCTGGTTTACGTCACCATGGGTAACCTATCTGATGTGTGCTTCTGAAAATGGGTCTGCTTGCTCCTGATATGATCCTTTGGCTCCTGGCCACATTCAGAGATGACAGCTCTGGTGGTCCTTATAGAAGACCCTTATCTGAAAGTGCGTTTAGAAAACTCCGTGAAAGGGCAGACTTTCTTGCCCCACGGCTCTGCGCCTGAAGAGCCCGCCACCAGGACAGACACAAGCTTCATGAGCCACTGCAGTGGGGCCAGAAGAGTTCCACTCTGCCTCATTCAGCATCTCCTGAGCTTGTGAGCTTGGTTTTGCGTTTTACTCTCGTCTGGTATGGTGATGATGTGAGAGTCTGAGCGATACTTGGGAAGCTAGTGGCACCATCAGCTGGGAGAGGCTTCCATGCACTGTAAGCCGATCACTTTAGAGTTGGAAATACAAGGTGACCAGTAGCATATTTGGAGAACTAATTTTCAGAGCACACTAGCACTTTCATTTCCTTTGGATGTCTCTGTCCAAGTCTAAATTTCCTCTCCCTTCATCCTACAGAATGCTGTTTTTGTTTCACTGCCACTTTATGACAAGGGAGGTTACAGCAATAAATCAGAGCTTTTTCCTTTCTGGATTAGTGATCCCTCTTTTTAATTTTCTACACTTGGCTGCTGGAGGATTATTTTATGGTATTGTTTTGCTCCAGACACCACCAAAAGTGAGGCTGGCTGGGAGGACCAGCATTGGGAAACCTGTACCTATACACTTAGCAGCTTGCCCGCTTTCATTGCCAGCACGGTGAGGGCAGGAGCCAGGAGAGCAGAACTCCAGGAGCAGCTCTGAAATGATGCAATACAGTGTCTGGTCCATCGATTGAATGATTGCAATGAAAGGAATACCTCATGCTTTTATAGTGCTTTGCAGTTTTAAATTCTTTTACACGCCTTATTTCATCTTCACAATTCTTGCCTCTTACTTTATAGGTGATGAAACTTCAGCTCAGAGAGGTTAAGTGATTGACCCAGGGTTGCATAGTTAGGAAGTGGAGGAGCTTAAACTGGAAGCCAGGCTTCAGTGTCAGAAACTCGAATTCCTTTCCCAGTGCTATTTTGTTTATGACTCACGTCTCATTCAGGAGTGGAGGATATAGAAATAAATCTCAGGAATAGAAGTAAATGAACAAAACTGATGGGACATCTTAAGGAGGCGTCATCCAAGAGATGTGTATGTAGAAGTAGGTGCAGTTGATTTGAAGCCATCATAGTATTGACTGGCATGGGAGGAAACAGACATTTCCTCTAACTAATTAAATGCAGTTCTCACATTTCTGGGAGCAGAGACTAGGGTGGGAAGAAGGCTGTGGGTGTAGAGCTCATTCTTCTGCCATGCCCTCCTCTGACACTGGGCCAGCTGCACCTGTGAGCATTGTTCGTGCAGGAGAGCCATTTGCAGAGCCCTGATGTCTCACCAGTGCCAGCAGCTGCCATGGTCGTGTCCAAAATGGTGCAGTTAAACACTCAGATACTTGTAGTGTTGCCAGGAAGAGTTATTCCTTTTGCTAGTTATCTCTGGATGTTATTAAATTGGATTAAGATAGAGAGGCCCCATTCCTTACAAAATCAGTTTTGCCAGGTGAAGTATGATTTTCCTTTTTCTTGTAACTTTTTCCTCATATGGAAGCTTGATGTTACTGGTGTAAGGACCAAGACCTGCTCATTCTGAGAACACAGAAGCCTGACACCTGACAGATATGTGGGGTAAAGCAGAGCCATGTGCTGGGAAAATGCCGGACTCTGGTCGGCTGTTAACTGACCGACCATGTGACTTCAGGCTGGTTATTTTCTCTCTTTAGACTTCCCTAGTTGGTCTTTAGTAAGAGCTCATGGTTTTCAAACTGTATTCCTCGATGCCCATCAGGTGTCGCTGTGAAGCTAGGAGGAGAGCAGGGACCTAGGTCCCTGAGATTGGAGCAGTTTTATTTTGAGTCATTTTGTATTGTGGGCTTTCAGATAAAATTTCTTTTCAACCAGGGGTTTTATGTCATTAAAAAAAAAAAAAAAAAAACTGACCTGGCCTGGTGGCTCACGCCCATAACCCCCATACTTTAGGAGGCCGAGGTGGGCAAATCACTTGAGATCAGAAGTTCGCAACCAGCCTGGCCAATGTGGTGAAACCCCATCTCTACTAAAAATACAAAATTAAGTGGGTGTGGTGGCGCATGCCTGTAATCCCAGCTACTCAGGAGGCTGAGGCAGGAGAAGCACTTAAACCCGGGAGGCGAAGGTTGCAGTGAGCCGAGATTGCACCACTGCACTCCAGCCTGGGAGACAGAGTGAGACTCCATCTCAAAAAAAAAAAAAAAACTAAACTAAACCCCTGATCTAGCTGATCCACCCACCATTTCATGGGCTATTACTCATTAGTAATAAAACTTAAACACCGGTGACTAATGCTTCCACCTATGCCATCCCTGACCTCCTGCTGCCTCATTGGCCTGGCCTTACTTATGGCTGAGGTAGGCGCCCAGGGTCTCCCTCTTCTCATAGTGGGGTGGACAACAAGAGCAAGAGCCCTGTGGGTTGGGGGAGGGATCCACCAGGTGTTAGTGGCGAAATCAGCCAGAGGTAGTTAGAGGGAAGGTCCCTACCAGTTCGTGGGTGACCTGACCCATTACATTGCTGCAGTCAGTAGCATTTGGCCCTCAAGGTAAAGGTCACTCCCTGCTCACCACTGCAGTTTACGCCTGGCTGCTGAGAAGAGAGAGTGAACTTGAAAAAAGCTATTTAGTTTACAAAAGGCCCTGAGTAATCAGTTGCCAGGATATTGCCAGTGATTAAAAAATGACATCTGAAAGGGGACTGAGGGGTACCGAAAGTATAAAAGAAAGGAGAAGAAATAACAAATTTCTGGTTTTAAAATGTACCCTTCTGGTGATCCGCACAGTTAGATTTAATCTGTTTACATTGGGTAGCAATAAAAGGAAATGGGGGCAGCTGCAGACCTCCTCACTGTGACAACAGTAACCTTTTATTATTCCATCAAACTCTGGGAGGAAATAGCTTAAGCATCTGCAGATTTTGGACAGAATTCACACACTCAGAAACGCAGCCTCAACCTACTGCTAAACGACTTAGCATCATGTTGAAGCTGAGAATCAACCCTCTGGGGAGTTGCCTGGTGCAAAGGGAGATGCCAGTTAGAGCCAAAATTCCAGCACCTCCTATGTAAACTGAGCACATTCACAATGCAGCCGTAGGCAGGAGACAGCCCTGCAGGAAAAAAGTAAGAAGAAAGGAAACTTGAGGCAGTCCTTCCCGTTATTCCTCTCTTGCTTCAGCTCGCACTAAAAATGCTGCAAGAGGATCTGGATGCTGTGGTCGTAGGGCTAGGAGTCCCTCCTTACTGCAGAAGAGTGCTGTTAGTGGGCAGGGCAGGGCAGGGCCACGTCATCTGCAGGTAGGGGTGCAACTCTGGCACTGCCTGGTCATGCAGCCTGAGTGTCCTGTGGGGCCTTATTACGGCAGGACCTGTGGCAGACGAATCAAGATGAGTGCCATGGAATTATATAGCTGTTTTCTTTTTTCACTTAGAATCTGTATTTTATACTTACCAAATGAGCTCATGAGACTCATTCCAAATAGTTTCTTTCAAATCATACGTCACTTCTGTGCGTATGTAAAAGGAAAGTATAAGGAAAATAAATAGATTAAGATATTTCTAAAACTTCTTCACATGCAGGGCCCACATCTTCTGAACCACTTTTTTTAAAACTTTATGTTTGGAATAATTATGGGCTCATAAACTATAAACCTAGTACAGTGATGTACCGTGTACCAGTCTCCCAGCTTTCTCCAGAGGAACAGCTAAAATACGATAGTGCATCATCAAAACCAGGAAATCAATCAATCCAGACCCCTTCCCGTCTCCCAGCTTCCTCCAGGGAGACAGTTAACGTACTATAGTGCATCACCAAACCAGGAAATGGATCCAGACACCTTCCCATCTCCTAGCTTCCTCCAGGGGACAGTTAACATACTATAGTGCATCATCAAACCAGGAAGTGGATCCAACCCCTTCCATCTCCCAGCTTCCTCCAGGGGGACAGTTAACGTTCTATAGTATATCATCAAACCAGGAAGTGGATCCAACCCTTCCATCTCCCAGCTTCCTCCAGGGGGACAGTTAACATTCTATAGTATATCATCAAACCAGGAAGTGGATCCAACCCCTTCCATCTCCCAGCTTCCTCCAGGGGACAGTTAACATACTATAGTGCATCACCAAACCAGGAAGTGGATCCAACCCGTCCATCTCCCAGCTTCCTC